TATTAACATTATCATAACTATATATTTGAAAAAAAAAAACATTTTGGTTAGAAAAACATTTTGGTTGAAAAAGGGAAAAAATGTTGTTTTTTTATCTTATTTAACCAACATGATATAGTCATGTTGGTTAGGACATGCATTTTGACAATATCAAAAATAATGATGTAGTTAAAATGCCTAGAAAATTGTATATAAATTTTCTAAACTGCATTGCCTCAACAAGATACAATTACTTCAATAAATAATTCAAGCAAATTTATAAAAAAAAAAAAAGAAAAATGCCAATAACTTCAAAATAACTTAAAAATAAAATATAAAAAAATTTTAGAACATCAAAATTTAGTTAAAAAACAATAGACATCTTTGTTGTCTAGTTCATCAGATTTTTGTTCAGCTTTTTATTCTTTTTTTTTATTAGTCAGAAAGTATATCACATATATAATATATAATATTGTATATTATAATATATATTGTTAAAATATATATTATAATATAGATTACAAAATCTGCAAAACTGTGTCCTCATCTGGGGATTCTTCTTCATTGGTTCATGTGTTACTGAACTGTGATTGTTATGATCATGGAGCTTAAATATGTATGAAAAAGCTGTAATGAATGTAGGCATTTATTCAACACATGTGAGTGTAAGTTTTTTATAAAAAGTGGTACACCTTTTTATGAAGTATATTGTTGCTAGCATTATCAACCGTCACACTGCTGCTTGTGTTTGTTAGCAGCTTGTATAGCATGCATAATAATTTTTGACTATTTTGAAAAGAATGTGATCGAAAGATGTTGGATAAAACAACAAGAAACAAAAAATTTAAAAATAAAATTTCTATGCTGAAATTGCTTTGTTAGCTATATTTAAAGAAAAGTTTAGTGAGGTATTTATGGATTACTGTGTGACAGAGTGTAGTATGTATATATGTAGTATGGCAAACTTATCTATGTAGAGTGCAACGGAGTAAAGTATATATGTGGCAAAAAAAAATTTCTTTCTAATTTAATAGCAGCCAATTAAACAGCCACATTTTTTCTAGATTTAATAGACTTTTAAAAAGACTATAGGAGTATAAATCACAATAAAAATGACAATGTTACATTCAAATTTTTTGTTACTTAGTGCATCTTCAGTTTACTTACATTTTTTGGAACATTTTGTATATTCATTTTCAGACTCATTAGAATTAACTCATGATTTTACATTTAATGACTGAATTATTCTGTAGATTTAAACTGGAAAGTTAAAACCTATGTAAGTTTGAATGTATATATATATATATATATATATATATATATATATATATATATATATATATATATATATATATATATATATATATATATATATATATATATACATATATATATATATTCAAATATATATATATACATATATATATATATATTCATATATATATATATATATATATATATATATATATATATATATATATATATAATATATATATATATATATATATATATATATATATATATATATATATATATATATATATATATATATATATATATATATATATATATATATATATATATATATATAGATATTTATATATATACTAAAACTTTTTAGTGCCTGTGTAACAAGTCTCAGTTATTTGTTTATTGTTTTATACTTAAGGTTGAGGCAACTACTTAGCCTGTTGCTTATGATGTCATGCACTATGATTGATTTAAATTCTCTATTAATTTAAAACATGATTAAATCATCTAAAAATATTAAACAAAGAAACAACTCTTCCACTAAATTATTTCAACTTATTCTTTACAAATATTTGTGGTCTTCAAACTATGTTTTTATCTGTTGAAATTTTTAACTGCAGATATTCATAAAAACTATTTTCTCTTTGTGAGAATATTTTAAATTGGGTTTATTTATTTTTAAAACTCAGTGTTGATGGATATTATTTTTTGATTTGCAAAGGCTCCAATAGTCACATGCTTTGCATATACTTATTATTTGCATATAATTTTACATATACTTTTTACACATACTTTTTACATATACTTTTTGCATATACAAAATAAAAAATCTCTGTAGAACTAATGTCTTTTTATAGTTGCAAGAAATCTATGCAAAAAACATTTGTCTGCTGCTTTTTGTTATTATTATTTTAATTATTCACCTTCCCAAAGCCAAGAAGGCCGCTACAGTCGAGGAGGCTATTTTTGTGGTTACAACCCTCTCTCAACTCTATAACTCCAAAAAATAAACCTTGACTAACAAGCCCGCTGCACAAGGAAATAAATTAAACGCGGTACTACCAGGGACGTGGTGGGGATCGAACTCGGAACTTCTCGCTTATAAGCTGAGTGCTCTATCACTACACCACTACAGCATACACATCATAATGTATATAAATGCTAAGTTTTTGTTATTTACATGTTACTAAATTTTGTATTTTATCTCAGAAGTAAAGTTCTAGACACTTTTGGAAAATCTTAAACAATATCATTAACACGGGAAAGTAACACTCTGTCTTTTATTTATCGGTCTTCCATGGCAAAACTATTTTTCTCTGATTCATCTTGTAAATCTAATAATAACTTCTTTTCATCCTAAAGAAATTGATTAATCCACTCTAAGAAATCACTCATGCTTCTGTTGCTAAAAGTTATTTCTACTTTAACTTATTTACAGTTGGTGGTCCAGACCTGTCACATATTTACAAAGATTGTGACCTTCAGTGAGTGGTTGAAATAAATTTGAACAATCAGATGCAAAACTCTGCCACAGAATGTTGAAAAAAAGAGTTGAATGATGGAAACTGTTTTTACTTTTTATTCATAGATGTGCAAAAATTATGGTTGTAACTATTGTTAAATATTTATTTATATTTTTATAGATTTATACAGTTTAGAAAGTTTCAAAGTCTTATTTAACCATTAACAGTTGTCTATTTCTTTGTTAATATGAGAAAATTTTAAATAGTGTATTCCAAATGTTTATATGATAAAGTTTTAAATAACGTATTCCAAATGACTTGCATTTTATAAAAATTTTATTTGAATTTAAAATGTTATCTTTCCATAAAAAGTTCTTACAACTTTATGTGACCATTATTCTAAAATACAATTAAAATAATATGTAAAACTAACCAATGAGTTGAGTTGTTTCAATTTCTTGCAAAAAATTTGTTGCAATCTGGTAGGCGTTTTTGTTAGCTTTAATCATTTTATAAATTACCAACAAAAAAAGTTAACTTTTTCTATGATTTTCTTATTCCTGTAAGTTTAGTTTTTGCATACTTTACAGTAGTAGATGAAAAAATAACTTTGAAAAGATTTTTAAACCAAAATATTTTCCAATTATTTTAAATTTTATTTTAGTAATTTTTCCTAATTATCATGTTATTATTTTTTACTTTTTTTGTTTTTTGCTTTATGTTACCAATATTGTTTTACCTTTTTTTATCCATTTCTGGTAATAGTTTTTGACAATTGCATATTTTATTTAAACAAACAAAAAAAAAAAACACTATTAATTAACATGGGAGTTTTTCCTGAGTTTTTAAATGGTCACGAAGTGCTTATTTCTTTTTTTTATATACAAAACATTTTTTTAACTTTTTGTTCATGATTTAAAAGTTGTGATATATTTTTTATTTTAAACTGAAAGAGAATTTATTGGAAGAAACAAACTTCAATGGTTTCCCTGTCATAATGGATAAAGAGTCTCAAACATTAGCTGGCTTTGTTACAAGAAGAGATTTAAAAGTTGCTCTGCGTATGTGGTTTTTATTTTTAATAGATAAGTTATATGTATATATGAATATATGGAAATGTTGGCTACACTCTTTGTATCTACACTTTGCATGTATTTATTTAATATAAATTTTATATATATATATATAAACACAACTATAAATGCATACTAAGGTAAGCACTGTGGCTTTACACTGAAATAGCCTGCTTACGAAGGCTTCAATACATACATAGACTATTGCTGCCACAAAGGAGTGCCACTCCTTGTTTTTTTCTTTTTTTCTGAAAAAGCTGCATGCTATAAAAATAAGCAAATTGAGCGAGTAAATGCTGATCTATATACGCTATAGTATATTACCAATCAAAATTAATAATGCAATAATAATGAAAAGTTCTTTCCTTTTTAATAAAAATATTCTTAAAATTTTGTAGTAATAAATTGTATTATATTTTTAGTAATTGTCAACAAAATTGTAGGTTTTACATTTATGCTCTTTAAAGGCTAATTTAATTCAATTTTCAGAATGAGTATTGCTTTGATTTGAAATTAAGTTTTAAACTAAAATTGATGGTTTGCAAAGTTCCGATAAAATTAAATTTTTGAAAAAAACTTTCTTTTTTTGAATAGTAAAATGAATATGCTCTTTGTTCTTAAAATGAGTTTAAAAAAAGTTGTTGAAAATTAACCTTCTTTATTTTAAATAAAATATATTGCATATTTAAAAATAATTTAGAATTTTATTTTTTGATATAGAGTATGGAAAAATGCGAAAGAAAAACTTCGATTCTGGAACACGTGTATATTTTTCAAAGCGTACTCCAAAAGTAGAACAAAGCAATAGACTAACAAAGATACCGTTAAGTTTAAGACATATCTTAGATTCAGTGAGTTGACGTTTTTTTTTTAAATTTATGGTTTAATTTATAATCTTTAGGTTGAGAAGTTTTAAATAGTATTTTCTTATTAATTAATTTAAAAAATTTTTTAGGATTTTTAAGTTATGCTTTCATATTTTTTTTTTTACAACTAAAATATTTCTGGAGTATTTATAACGTTTTATGTTTTATTATTAGTTATTTTTCAAATTTTTTAAAACATTTCAAAAAACAAGAATTATTTTTAAAAAAACAATTGCAATTTTAAAAAACAAGAATTTTAATAGGAAAAATTGTTCAATTTGAAATAAAATTTCTAAATGATTTGATCATTATAATTGTCTAAGTAAATTGAATCAATACAATTGTCTTAGTAGATTGAATCATTATAAGTTACTCATTTTAATTGACTAGTACATTTATAGAGTTTAGAATTTATTTTTTAGAAGTTTCAATAGTTTTAGAAAAAATGATTTTGAAACCTGTTAACCTGATATCATAGTCTAATTAATTAAGAATAAGTCGTCATCAAAAAACAATGATAAATTTTTTTCTTTTCTTTATAGCTTAAGGTTCATTTTAGAGTGGTTCATTTTTGGAACTTGATAAAATCCTCAAACTTCTCACTAATTAAGATATTTTTACTATTACCATTATTGCAATCTCTTGAAAAAGCAAATATTTTTTTGTAATTATGCTGGAATAATTATATAACAATTTAAAAAGTTTTTTGTTATTATTTTGAGTATTTGTTATAGTTTTAAATTTGTTTATAAATAATAGTTTGAAATTTTTCTTATTTTGTTTTAAATTTTTTTTTACAAACAAAATGTAAAGCATGTCCACGAAATAAATGTGAAAGAGTAAACACATAATTTTTCAGTGGTTGTATTAATATATTTTTAATTGTATTTGTATTTTGTTGACAACATGTAACAATTAAAAAAAAATGTTTTGGTTTTTCCATTTAACTTAAAATAAGTTTTAAAAATAGAAGAAAATATTTTGCACAAATATTTGGAAAATTCAAATAAAAGATACAATTCAATAGCAAAAATGTTGCAAAACATGCCTACACTGTTAATCATGTTATTTAACAATTTTTGCAATCTGGTAATGGAGGAAAGGATGTTTTTTAAAATATAAAATTAGTTAAAAAATTGGTTATATATATATATAAATATATATATATATATGTATATATATATGTGTATATATATATATATATATATATATATATATATATATATATATATATATATATATATATATATATATATATATATATATATATATATATGCAGGTATGACAACAAATCAGCACCCTATATTTCTAATTCTATATTTTCTGGTAAAATATATGAATTGGTGAATGTTAAAAGGGCGGAAGTCCAACAATGTAAATTTTCATAAATTACTAGAAAAACTAATAAATTTTTGTTAATGGTTTAAAAAATTTTTTTTTAAAAAGGATAACATTTTGTACCTTCAAAAAAACAACAAAAAAAAATTGTTAAACCATTAACAAAAATTTATTACTGGGGGAAATGCAGTTTTTAATAGTTTCCCAAAAGTTTAGATTGCTGGACTTCCGCCCTTTTAACATTCACCGATTCATGTTAAAGAGTGTTCACAAAAATATCTTTTACCTCTAACTAAATCACTTGATAGTAGACATGTATTCTGGTCTGATTTATCATCAAGTCATTATAACAAACTAGCTATGGGATGGTATAAACAAAATGACATGAAAGTTATGTCTAAAATAGCAAATCTTTCAAACTGCTCAAAATTGAAAATTATTGCAAAGCAATGGGTAATTAATAATAAAAAAATGAAATAAACCAAAAAAACTACACAGAAATGTTAAAGATTTGAAAAAGTCATTTAAAAAGTTAGTTTGAAGGGTTCATCAAATAGTTTTGATTGTTGTTCTGTGCGCAAGCTTATGGGTACTTTTTATGTTATTCTCTAATGATTTTATTCTCGCACCCATGTAAACATCTTAAAAAAACAAAGGAAAATAACAAATTTTTTTTTCATTTTTTTTTTTTTTTTTTGTGTATATGCTACTTAACAATATTTAACAAGTCTTACTAAAGTTGATTTTTTTTAATAAAAAGTTGAATTAAAAAGTTTTATAATTTTTTGATATAAATTATTATTATATAAGTAATATATTGTTATAAATATGTTTTATTGTTATAAAAATATTTTAATTTTATTGTTATAAAAAAATTTTAATTTTAAAATGTTAGTAATTCAGTTAAAAGTTAATATAAATTCAAAGAGTTTGTGTAAAATGTTTATTTTATATTTAGAATTTATATTTTTTATTTTTATAGAGTCCATTTACTGTTACTGTTGCAACACCAATGGAAACTGTAGTTGATATGTTTAGAAAATTAGGATTACGACAATTGTTAGTTACACGAAATGGGTAAATAATTTTTAACTTATTAAATTAACATATATAACTTTTAATAACTTTTTCTCAGATCATCTTATTACTTTTTGAAAATATTTTTTACTTTTTGACCTATATTACATAAATATTTTTGTGAAGCTTCACCACTGTTAGTTATTATTAGGTATTATTTTTGTTTGGTGACTGGTTTTTTGTTCTACCGGTATTGCTTTTTTTTTTTTAAATAAATTTTTTAAAGAAACAAACTATAACAACTTGATTGTTTACTTTAAATTTTAGAATTGTCTTGAGCAGTACACAATTCTAATCTTTTATTTTTTTCAGTACTTTGGATGACTTATATTTTGTTTGTAAGCATCTCAAACTAAAGCCTAAGCTTAGGTTATGGAGTGAGATGCTCATAAATAAGATTATAAAACATCTTGCAGGCTTCTTGTTATGAATATAAAATGCATAACTCATAA